TTTTATATATTTTATTTTAAAATATTTATTTCTTGTATTCTGTATAGATATTTTCATTTCAATTAAATTATACGGTATAGTTCCATTTACATATATTTTTTTTTTGTTCAAATATTTTTTTAAATAAATAATATTAAAGTTTTTTAAAATAAAATTAAGTCGTTAATTATCAAATAATATTTATACAAATATAAATCAACTTTAATTTTAAAAATTAATTTGATTTAAACTAATAATTTGAACTAATCATTTAAACTTTATTTAAACTAAATTTTAAATAATTCGTTTTCATTCGTTTTGACCAAATATTTATAATAAATTGTAATAAAATTATAATAAAAAAACGTACCAAATATTTATTTAAAATATAAAATATTAGTTTTGACAAAGTTTTAAATTTTGAATTGTAAAAATTTGTATTATAAAAATTAAAATAAGTAAAATAAATTAATAAAATTGACTTTCATAAAGTTATATAAAAGATTCATTTTATATAGTTTTAAAATGTAAGGCTTCATCTGAATATAAATTAAGTTTTAGTTTTAATTAAAATGTTTTATTTTAATATCATTTTACTTCATCTATTTAAGTTTTACAAAATATTGTTTTTTTATTTATTGTTAAGTATTTATTCTGTCATATGATAATTTTTTGTGGAAGAGTATTTCTAAAAAATTTTTTTTTTAAGTTAAATACAATTTTTTTTTCTGCTAATTTAACTTTAATTTATTTTTATATGCAAATACACTTTTTCGGATTTATACTTTATTTAATAAATAATACAGATTGATTTATTTAATTTTTTTTTAACATAATAATGTAGTCTAATAAACAGGTAAACTGGCTAGTAGAATGAAATTATAAGTTAAGTTTATAAATTATTTTATTTATTACTGTTTTCATTTCCAATGTTTATTATTTTTAAAAGTTTTTCGGAATAAAATAGGATAGACTACATAGTTTTTTAAAAATTTCTTGCTAGTAGTTACAAATTTCTTCAAAAAAAATGTTCTTTCTTTTTCATACTAAAAAAAATTATTTTATTTTATATATTTATACATGTACAATATATGTTATATATTTTTGTACACTTTTTTAAAATATTATTTAATAGTTTATAAAGTTTTTCGTATATTGTTTATTTTTTATTTTATTTTAAACTAAAATTTTTTTTTAAAAGTTGTTATTAGATAGTCACTTTTCAGCTAGCTCCTTACTTTAGTATTTGTAAAGACCTCAAAACAGTTTATAATTTTAAATACTCGTAGATCTAACAATTCTTATGAATTCCTTTATATTTTAATATGCGTAGATTATTATAAAAACATTATATGGTACGTTTTTGTGCAAAGCGGTACTATAATCGAACGCCTAAAGACCCACTGTAATATATAAAATTATTATTATTTATCGCAGATCTATGGCACTTTTATTTTCTTTGTGATTTTAAACATTGCAAACGTTTATACAAGAAATTTCTATAGAAACTTTATCTTATTTATATTCGGTGTTTGTAGTGCAGTTGGTAGTTTTGATTTTTATTTTATATATTTTTTTAAATACTCGTATTTATTTTGTCGCTTTGTTGGCGCTGTTACCTGGCACTTTAACTTTTGTTTGTTTTGTTATTTGTTACAAATTTATAGTAAAATGACAACTGAAATTTTGTTGTGCCAAATTTAACAATTAATAAATAACATTTTATATTTAGGTTAGCATTTGTTTTATTTTATTTTATTGTTGTAATATGTGTACAGATGCTTGCGCAAGTATGAATGTAAGTAAGTTTGAAAAATGATTAAAATTGAATTTATTATTTTGTAAGTTAATTTATTTATTTGGAAAGTTAATGTTAATTGTTTCATTTCAACCCGCAATTTTAATAGTGAATAAAATATAAGAATGAAAGTATTTTTAATATCCGACTGAATTACCTATATAAATGATATCAAGAATTATTTATTAGCTCTTAAAATAATATTTAAATTTGAATTTTCCAACTTGTAATAAATTGTATTATAAGATAATAAAGAATTTTTAATTTCTAAAAAATTATAAAAAAAAATATCTCTATAATATATATTATATATAATATATATATTTATATATATTATATGTATTTATATATATTATATATATTTATATATATAAACATAAGGATATAAACTAAAAAACATTGAAATTAAAATAAATTTTTGGCCATTAAAATAAAACAATTAAAATTTTAATTTACTATAATTTTATATTATAAAAAACAAAAACTAAAATAAACAACAATATTTAATATAATATCGTATTCAAATAATATTAAAAGAAAATTAAATTTAATTTTAAATTTTTATTTCAAATTTTAATTTTATTGTATAATGTTAATATTTTTTAAATTATTTTATTTTAATTAGGATTTTAAAAACTTTTTGTAGTAATAAATTATAAAATAAATTATATGATAATAAAATTTATACTAACTAATTATGTAATAAATAATTTAATAAAAAAAATTATACAAAAAATATTAGGAAATAAATATGCATAGACATATGCTATGTTAATAATAAAAATATATAAAAAAATATATTTTTATATATATAAATATTTTTATATATACATAATTAAATAAATATTCATAAACAATTAGCAATGTTAACATTTTAAAATTTTGGAGTTAAATCAATATTGATTTTTAATTTGTTTTTTAATATGAGAAGTGCCTTATTTTAATTAAAAATATTTTAATTTAAATAAATTTTAGATTTTTTTATATAATCTGCAAATAATTATACAGAATGATTAAAAGTAATTTAAAAAAATTTTATAAAATACTGTATTGTATTACTTAAACACGTATTTGTAATATTTTAAAATCCTTCAATATGTTATATATTTTTTTTTGCTTAATTAAATTTTTGAAAAAAAATGATTGAATAATACATTATACATATACATATTTTCTCCCTTCATTGTTAAAAGTTATTTTTCGATTATCCGTAATCAATATAAGGTATATTTATATGTTTTTTTTATATGTTATGTGGGACTATGACAGTGTAAGATTTTTTTTCATGACTTCGAAATATTTATTTTATAAATTCAATAAATAAAATTTTTAATGTTAGTTTATTTATATATATATATGTATTTACATGTACATATATATGTATTGTAACATTTTATAAGTAATCATTTTAAGATTGATTTTTAACCGTACTTATAAATATTTTTAATTGGCATAAAAATTAAAGCATTAATATTTTAAAATAAAGTTTCAAAAAATTCTATAATAAAGAAGGCCGTCAAAAAGTCTTTGTTTTTGTTTTTGTGTTATATATTATATATAAACCACACTTAGATAATTATTAAAAATAATTGTTTTTTTTTAATTTTTCAGGCAATATTATTTTGCATTTTACTTATATTTTATTCATTTAATACTTTTTAAACTCTTACATTATAAAATACAGGTTATCAGCTGGGAATAAATTTGTTAATATTAAATAAATAATTTTTTAAATTATTATATTTTCTGTAAGAATAGTCCTCTCTATTTACTATTTTATTTAAAAATATTTTAATATTTTTAGTTTCAATATTGTGATTTATTTATTATTGGATGTTATAATATTAAAAAACAATATTTATTAATGTTAAATTTTTTTTGTCGAAAACGACGCATCTTATGAAGAAAATAAATTATTAAAAGTTAGAAGGGTTCGAATAGAAATGAAAAGACAACAATAAAAATTTTAGTAGTTTATTTGGCTGACTATACAACGCTGTTTCGCGTTTTGCCAAGTACTCAATATCAGTGGTCTCAGGAAATATTCGAATTTGTAGTTTATGAGCTCATTCTAATTTAAAGCACGACACTAACCAATGTCAGTTAAAAAAATAAAAAGTGATAAAAAACTTAGAACTTGAGCATTGAAACTTTGTGCAGCCTTGGCTACTTGTGGAAAAACACGATTAATCATCGTTTCTAAGCCTGGCATTTACAGTCCAAACAAATTATATATGGACTATAAACTAATTAAAAAACTCGAATATTTCCTAAGACAACCGATGATGAGTACTTAGCGATACTCGAAACAGCGTTGTATAGTTAGTCAAATTTCAATAAATTATTTATATAAATGTTGTTGTCTTTTCATTTCTATTCGAACCCTTTTAAAAACATTTGTTATTTTTTAGATTTAAATTAGAAAGGCAATGTATTATTTTTTACGAAATACAAGAAATTAAAATTAATTTATTGCTTTATAAAAAATAAAAATAATAAACTGAATAATAAATATTAAATTTGTTGTAAATTATTTTCATTAATGTTGAAGGTTTTCTTGTTAAAATAGATGAGATTTATTTATTTTTTTTTTGTTGTTAATTCAGAAATTACTTATTTTTATTTCAATATATAAATTTTCAAACTTTAATTATTAAATATTTTAAAATATTTTATTATATAGTTTTGTATATATTTATATATAAAAACCAAAAATAAACAATTATTCAGTTCGTCTCTTGTCTTTCGGAAATGGTTCTTGGCCAAAATTTTCTTTTGATGGATATTAAACTTAAGTGTTGTTGCCAAGTCCTTTCTTGTGGGAGCAATAGTTTTAGAGAGGCCCATTTTTGTAATAAAAAATTTTGAATTTTGCAAAGTTTTATATATGCTTAAGACATACATTCAGTATATTTATAGATGTATATATATATATATAAACATATTGTAAGGTGGGTTTTCAAAATGTTAATATATATGTGTTCTGAAACATTGTTGTTCTGAAACAGTGTTAATTGGATAACCAATTTTAAACATATAAACATTTTTGAAACATACACTATATATTAAATATTTTATTAGTCTCTAATGCAAAATGTTTTATAACGCTTATAACACTATTACTACGACTATTAATTTTTTTCAGTGCATTTTCTTAACTAATTAAGTGCAAAACATTTTTATGTTAAGTTCATTTAATATTTTTAGTTTAATTTTCGTTTTATCTTCTTTTCAATACACGTATAAAACATACATTTTTATTTATTTCTCTATATGTATAAAAATAATTTACAATATAGTACACGCAGAACCTTGCATTACTTCACTTATAAACATTGGCGTACCGGCACCTAAACCTCCATCTGTTTTTTGATGTTCATTCTATAGAAAAATAGTAATATTAAGTTATACATTCTTTTCTAATTTATATATTTTATTAAATTCTTTATGTATATATGTATATGTTTAACGTATGGTATGCACTTACATCATCAAATTCGCAATCAAAATAATGACTTTGACACTCCATACAACGGCATCCATCCGACATTTTACACGTGATACCCCACTGTTTTGCCAAATCCTTGTATATTTCCTTTGAGGATTTATTACTTATTATTTCCGGTGTAAGGGAATTTTCATATTGTTGTTGTTGCTGTTGTTGATTTTGTTGTTGCTGTTGCTGTTGTTGATACTGATTACTTGACATTTGATTATGATCCCAACCATCTTCATTGCCAGTGTCAATGCCTCTTTGTGAATAATCTGACCCTGTTTGATTATGTGAGTGCTCATTACAATCACTGTTGCAATATGAATCTATAGAAATTGAAAAAAGGAATTGGTGTTATATTTAGAACAAATTTATGTTGAAAAGTTACTACTACACATTTTATTTTTAGCTATATTTTTATATTTAGACAAGCAATTACATTTCTATATATTATTTGTTATGCTATTATTGTATGGAGAGTTTGTATTTAAATATTGTATGACTATTTTATAGTCTCTTAACAGTTTATACCATGTTTCCACTTGTCTTATTTAAGCAGTTTTGCTCATTAAGACCGTTAGTGAGGATAATTTATTATACAAAGAGCTTTCAAATAAATAAGCTCATTATAAATAAATTAACTAATTAAAGGCGTAAAATGTCAAATGCAACTCTTAAAAATAAATTTCCCATAATGGAAAATACCTCAATTTAAATTATTTGTTGCCTATTTTTTATGTAGAATGTAAACAAAAAAGCTATTTTATATGCATAAATTAACTTATGCCAATGGAAACGACTACATCTTAATTTCATCAACATAAGTAGTTTTAGCTACAGTTAAAACATAATATTAGTGAGTTTTTGAACATTGAAACAAGTTTTATAATATGAATATAACTTTATGCGTGTATAATAAAATTAATCTTATAGTGTATTTGAGTAAAAAAAATCAATGACACAATAACAAATAACATTGTAAAACCAGATTCAAATATTTTTTGATTTATAATTTCTTGTTTTTACTAAACAAAAGAACTCTGTAAGATGTTACATGGTTTTGTAACATGGTTAATTTAAGAAACATATTACAGCATACGCTGTCAACGCATGCTTTACCAGTGAATGCAGTGTTTGATTTTAATAAAGTTCTTAAGCGAGTGTTCACACTGTAAATCATATGTTTATAAAGCGTTAGTGAATTGCCGCGATTGACAAAAATACTTCAAACACTCAGAAAAGTGTTAACAGTCATCGTGTTAAAGCGCTTATAAAGCGCTGTTTTAACGCAAAGCTCTAGAAGCATTTGCTTCTATACCTTTCTATACCTTTATACCTTTAATTATAAATATTAACAAATTATATATGGACTATAAACTAATTCGAATATTTCCTAACACCACTGATGATGGCAATACTCGGAACAAAGTTGTATGGTCAGCCAAATTTCAATCAATTAAAAATGGAATATTTCAATATTTGTTGTTGCCCTTTCATTTCAATTTGAACCTTTTTAATGTTCAAAAAGTTTCTTTTCGTCATAACATTAAAAAAACTTATTGTTAATGATTAAAATATATATTATTAAAATAATTTACTATCTAATAATTATAATAAAAATTTATTATATATAATATTTAAATTACCTGAACTACAATAACCACCATGATTAATTAAGGGATCGAAAAATTCATTGCTAGTAGTATTATTAATATTACTACCACCGCAAGCACCATCCTCTTCATATTCGGTATCATATTCTTGACAATTGCCGGTACATTTTTTAACTGCACTTCTTTGTGAGGTTGGAGACGTCATATTTGTTGAATCCAAAAGTTTAGTAGTAGAGTCAATTGATTCTTTACGATTATCGTCGTCCTCTTCGTCGTTTTCGTTAATTTGACGTTCGTCGTTAAATTCGTTGCCAGCACTTAAAATCCTAACATCCTGTTTACTAGCAACATTTTGTTGTCGTTGTAAACGATTCTCGTTGTTGATAAAATTATCCTGACAATCTGGATCGGTGCATTGGGAGTTATTCAAAGAAAGTTGTTCAAATGAATTTAAATTAGTGCTGTTGCGTAAATTTATAATTGAACTTCGTCGACTTTGTTGGGAATTGTCTTCATCCGATAATTGGCGTTGTGTTTTTAAATCCTATATGCAAAAAATATTACTATAGTATATACAGAGTAATACTACATGCTATATATATTTAATAAATTACCTCTTCTAAAACATGTTCGTAAGAGGGTGGGGGTGTTGATGGTACTCTATTGGAGCCAATTCCTGCATTTGATTCGTTTTCACACTGTGAGAGATTGTGATGAGGATAACCTAAAAAAATTAAATGCTACCATTTAATATTTATTTAATGAAATTTAAAAGTTTGTTAGAATTGAATTTAACATTATGAAAACTTTTTTACTGTTTCATTCTAATTAAAAAAGTTTAAAACTTGTTGGGAAGTAAGTGAAACCAAATCAAATATTATGTATACGAATGAAAATATGGTACAAAAAAAATTTAATAATATTGAAAATGCACTTACAAATAAACAAATAAAAAAATAAAGTTTAAAAGATTTTAGTAAAGTTCATAATTATTGTTTAATTAATTAATATACTTTTTGTATATGGAGTTGAATAATTTCTTTAAAAAGTAAAGATTGCATATAAATCATTTTAGATGTATTTCCAGAATCTCAAATTTAAACAAGTATCAATAGTTTTTTAATAAATATTTTGACAATATTAGATTTTTCTTATGACTTTATGGTTTATTTTGGAATACAATAAGTGTATTAAGTTCCTGCAGATATACATATCGTATCATAAACTAATGTTACGGCAAAGAAATGACTATGATGAGACCTAAACTACGGGACCTAAAAGAATTATTACATATTGTTATATTAATTCAGCCAGTTAAATCTTTTTCAAAGAGTTATGAAATCTTACTCTCCTCATACTTTCCTCAATTTGGCATGGAAAAATCATTTTTTCATCAATTTTTAAAAAAGCCCGACTTTAGTTGGAACTGTGTTGGTAGGAGTTAATCATTCCATATGCCTTTGTCCATAACCACATTCCAAAATATATCAATGTTTTGGAGACATTTCTTATCTCACAGCCTGGCAGAAATAACATAATTGGTTTTACCTGATCTTGCTAAGCTTAAATAAGTACTTATTTTTATAGATGATCTGATTTTTAAATAAGAGAAAACTTTATAAGAACTTTCTATTAAGTCACAAAATGGCTCCCACTTTATACATAAATATGATATATGTATAGTTAAAACTATTTGTCAGAGATAAGAATGTGCTTTATAGGGAACATCATTATTTAGTCTATTTCTTTATAATATGATTTCAAATAAAGATCTTATTTTACTTTTTATAATTAATAATGATTCTAAAAGATATTTCTTTAAAATGGTTGCCAATTATATTATGTGTTTCTAGAATACATGCAATCTAGATGATATTGCACCGATCTTACAGTGAACATAGACCGAAGATATGTTTAATTTCATTGAAGAGGAAAAAAAAGGTGACTGTGCTCCGTGTATTTCACCAGCTCTAAAGATAACTAATGATATTACAAGTATGATGATAACGATAAGGACATTATTAAATGTTTCTTTTATATTAACAAAAAAGTACTTATTAGTTAATGAACATTTTTTTTTGAAACACTACAATTTACTAACAGTCTTATTCAATGTTAGTGCGAAGAAAAATCTATATAATCTGTAAAATATTATATTAAAAAGCAACTATGAATTATATATGAAAAAGTATGTGATGGTGTCGTTATTCTAAATATTATAGATGCCAAAAGTTTATTATTACACCTTTTCTAAACTATATTCTTTATTCTTTTAATAAATCATTGACTAGTGTAAGATTATAGAAATACTCTTAAATAAATCAGCTTATATTTAAATTAGAAAAATAATTAGCAACATCGTAATATTATATAGTTTAGTTTTTGAGATATTGGGCGTAAAGGTTGCGACCCATCGTTTGTCTTGTGCTGTGTTTCCATCCTAGAGTTAATGTTTAATCCTTTTGTATTATTTTGTGGATGTCCCGATGTTTGCATAATCAATATCAAAATTTTTTATACTAGTTGATAATAGATAGTATGTTTAGTTCTGGTTAATGAAATTAATGAACCTCAACATCTCGAGAAGTAAGTTTTGTCGGCTTAAAGGGTAGTGAAGAATTTGCTGCAAATAGATGACTTAACTTAAATCCCTTGGTAAACCAGTTTACTTAGAGAATCGTGATCGCATGAAATGCTTATTAATAATATCAGTCGATAATATAAAAGATTATGGAACTTTATCAATTTATTATATGACTACTATGGCTATGATGTAATTATAGTACTATGATTGTACATAATTCAATTTATTTATCTTTCTTCCTATTTATATAGTTGTGTTATATATTGAATAATTGAAATAATATAAAGAATTAGCCGGTATCTTAGAATTAGCTACTGAGCTAGTTGTAAACTTTGAAGAGGTTTAAAGTTTTGGACATAACAGAGTCTAGGCATATTTTTTTTAAAATGAGGTGGTAATAAGCATCTTTTATTAGTATATTAGGGATCTCTGTTTTAGTGATTGTTTTTTATTTAAAACAATTTCTTACAAACAACACAGATTGTAAATAATATAAAAAAAATTATTTTCAAACTGCAGTTAATCAGTAATTTATAATATTAGACCTATTTTTTTGTAAGAATGTCGCAAAAGAACAACATAAAATAAGCAATATTTTTGCTGGCAGGTCTGGAAAAACTAGAAATTTTTGTTTTGATACCTGACAGGTTTATATATACAAATACATAATTACACATATTTGCAAAATACGTAAGTTTAAATTTAAAGTTTAGAAAATTAATAATAATTTTTTAACACTAAAATAATGAGTAAAAAAAATAACAACTAGGAAGTAGGAATAATTAACAAAAACAGTTAACTGGAAATCTTGTAGGCACTTTCAAAAATCATTCACAATAGATCAATTTTTAATCTTCGTAATCATGTGATTTGAGTTGCTGATTGGTTAAGCGGTTTTGAAAAACTTGAACTAAAATAAGCCAGCAGTGTTGTTGTTTCATACGTTATTTTTAAATTAAGCGGTTGTTCGTTTGTGATGTGCTTACAAAAGAATAGGCCTATTATAACTTCTTATTATTAAACGATTAATTAAAATTCTAGTATTTATGTATATAAAAAACTAGTTAGTTCAAATATTTAATAAACTTAAAAGTGATAACTACTGTAATTACAACATGCACAATTTCTTATTAATAAATAAAATATAAAACTATTATTTAAATTAAATAAGAAGAGCGAAGGGAGTCAAAATATTTGTTTATATAATATTAGCTAATAACAACTACTTTGAAATGCATGGAATACAACATATATTTAAAATATTTTTAACATACTCATATTAAATTTGGCATAAATGCATTATAAATAATTTTGATAAATTTGTTGTTTTTTTAGTTAAATATCCTTTGAGAATGTCAAAAATGAATCTTACCCAAACGCAGATTGTTGGTTTTATTTGGTAAAAGCGATTTACGTTCGTTGTGTCCAAGTGAACCAAGGCTGTTGCAATCAGCTGAGTCAATTGTTGAACTGCTGGCTCCGGTTGCAGTGGAATGATGATTAAGTAATGCTTCATTTACCTGTGGATCTGGATCATGTTCTTGGGATGTGCTTCGTGAACTGCCCATTCGAAATTTAAGTTTAAAGGGCGCCATTTTTAATCTTTCACAATTTGCTTTTATATTTTTTTGTTTGATTTATTTTATTTTTTTTTTAATAATAATTTTCGTTTATATTATTTTTAATTTTAATTAAAGACTTTTCATTTTAATTATATTAAAGAGGAGTTTTTATTTTGTTTTAAAACATTGTTGCTCTATGAAAGTTATAGTTCACATCTAAACAACAAGAGATTAAAAAGTGAAGTGATATATAAAAATGAAATAATAGTTACAAAATATTTGTGTTTATATGCAGAGAGACACAATTTACATTTAGATGTTTTTATAATAAATTACAAACAATATTTAATAGAGTTTTGCATTACAAGTCTTAAATAAAAATGTTTCCCTTAAATACATTTTCAGAGAAATCCTTTAATATTAATTTAGTAGAGCACAATAGTAATAAATGAAAAAAATAGTAGTTAATTTCAGATTTATTTATAAAACCAATTAACTTTATTAAACTTAGTTACATGCAAGTGTTGTCAGTTTTATAATATTTTTTCATTATATTAATTCAATTAATTAAAATAAATTTTTTTTACCTGTGGTTCTAAATACAGAATTTCGAACTGCTTTTCTACACTTTTCCTTTGTTTGAACTGAAAAATAAAGAAATAAATATACTTAAAAATTAATATTACAAAGACATTGTATTTATAATTATATTTAATTTAGTATAAATATCCCTTAAATTAAACGAGATTAAGAGATTTCATATTCAAATATTACATATATTCTATATTTGTATATATTCTATATATTCTAAACACTATGCAGGGCTATCCAAAGCAGCCCAAGGACACATGCGACCCGAGGCTAATATAGGTATGTATGTGCGGCCCGCGACATGTATCTAAATTTTCCTTTGATATATATTTTGGTGAAATCACATTATTTTATTTTTATGGTACCCCAAAAAATTTAATTCAAATGTTCTTATTATTTTTATTTAATGTTTTTATTTTTCTCCGAAAAAACCATGGACGTTTCCGGGGCCCTCGATATTGGACTTTAGTTAAGGAAGATTTGTCAATGTCAATAACTGATAATACACATAATTAAACGCATTGTATGACAAAGTATTGTTAAATAATATATTACAACAAGTGTTTATACTTTTAAGCTACTTTTTCTATAGCTTGATCCCGCTTTCATATATTAATTCATATATTATTATCATATATTTCATATATTATATTACTTAAGATGTGGATAATATGGTTATATCAGTAGATATATAAAGTCTTGTTCACATTAGTCTAGAAAATGTATTTCATATTAAATTTGATTTTAACATCAGTTATGACTTTAATGACAATTTTAATTAATATCAACTTTTGTATTTAATAGACTGGTTTCGAACAATAATGAATTGAAACAACAAAATTTTTATTTATTTTTGATTAAATTTTGTTTTGGTATTTGAATTAATTTACATAAATTTTTGGTTTAAGTGTTTCGAAAAACCCATCGTAAGTTGTCCTTATGTTTCAAGGTATTTCATTTCAGAGTCATGGGATCATAACTTTCAGCATACTTTTCATAATTTTAAATGGAATAATCTTTGTCATCAATTTTTAATATTTTCCGTAGTTATTAAAACACGCATATGCACAAAAATCAGATTCAATCAGATTGTTTACAGCGCTCCAGAATAGTACACCACGGTACTGCACATGAGTTACCATGTTGAAAAAGATAGAGAATCCATCAATCAATTTCTGTGTCTTTGTCCAAGACTATAAATCAAACGATATTATGTTTTGGAGACATTTCTTATTTCACAGCCTCGTAGAGATAACAAAAGTGAACTTATCTGATTTCATCAGCTTTATTTTGGAGACCAAATGGTTTACCGAGAAAAATATAAAGAGATATCCGCAGTTAGTAATTCACCTTTTTCAAGTATGTTTAAAATCACTAGATCTTAATATCTCAATCTCAATGTCAACAGATCTATTGAGGGCAGTAGATGTCTTAGAGAGGAATTGCAGACAGTTGTAGAAGAAAACAGAAAATAACATACATTAGTTATTTTTTGTCTATCTCACTGTACTGAGTCCCAAGAGATATCAGCATCTCTACTTTCAAATTCTATGATTTTCTGGTATGCTTAGAGAGTCATCTCTGCCTTTATTACCAAAAAAAATAAATTTTAATGATTCTCTGACATACTCAGTAAAACATTCATGTTTCTCTTATTAAATTAACTATTTTTTGATTATTGGGTTGTTCTGGACCCAAGGATATATAAGCATTTTCTGGCCAACTTTAAATATAATCACTCTTCAGTACATATTAAAGATATCTTATCTTATATAATCCAATGCCTCTTTTAAGTAAGGATGAAAAAAAATTGATGATAATTTGGTGTTCACATACACAGTCATTAAAAATTATTATCAAAATAATTATATAGTGGAATAAAATGTGGAGCACGTGGTAAGAATATATTGTACATAAAATGTTCTATAATATGAACTAAAATTTCGTTTTGTCTTAACAAAATTCTACTTCAATGAATTTTATATGAAAGCCATTTTACCTAAGATATTTTCGTCTGTTTTTTTCTTTTTAATTTCAAATAATGAGAAGCTTCTATTTTCAGCCAAAACTCACAGAAATCACGAATGCAGCCTCAGATGAAGCAACTCAACTTGTGTGTATTTTGACTATTCGTTCTGGTGCTGGTTCCGATGCGAAGCAGTGAAAGTGGTTATGAATTTTTTAGTGTCAAGTGATTAAGTGCAAAATGCATAATGCATGACAATGTGGTTTTCATTAAAAACAGGCACTCGAGAACACAGAAACGTGGCAGTGAAGCATGTACTCGTGCATGGATGAAGGTAATTTACCCAAAGAGAGTTCCTTCTCCAATTCGGAACACAGCAAGAAATTGCTTACCTTGTTTCTTAATAATGCACTACTTTTGTGTGAAGGTCCTTTCAGAACAAATTGTGGTTCTGCAATATATTATGTATGTGTGTCATGACTTAATTGATTTTTGTACTAAATAAGCAATTAGCATGCTCTAAGAAGAGTGTATATTAGAATAGAAATACTAATGAAATATTTAATAAAATAATTTATTAATATTAAGTTAAAATGTGAAATAATTCTAAATGTTGATGTTCATGCGATAATGATAGTATTAAGTTTCATTTCAATGTTAGAGATAAGCAAATTGTTAAGTTTAGGAAGTTTGAGATTACAGAGAAATTTTATATATCTCTTCGAAAACCCAACACTTCTCGAAATATCTGCTTCCGAATAATATTAATGCCATGTTTTCACTATGTCATTTTAAATGACAAAATATATAATATAATATTACGAAAATTTTACAAACTCTGTTAAAGTTTTTAATCTACTTTTTAAAATGGTCAACCTGCTGACAATTCATTTTTCTCTGTCAAATAAATCGTCAAATGAAATTTTGCTGTTTTCACTTGCAAATTATTTGACATATAAATCACTTGTCAAAAATGACAAGAATGCATATGACATCATATGACGTCCCGTTTTCATTATATTGACAATATTTGACATTAAAAATGGTATAGTGAAAACAAGGGATAATATTGTACTTTCACTTTTTTTATTTAAAAAGTTTTTTAAATCCGAAAATCGAAAAGGATTTTGCAGAATCCTTAATCCTCTATCCTTTATGTATTTTTTGATCGTATCAATTTTCTTTAAATACTGATAATAAGTTATTTAGTTGATATTATATGTATTTTAAAGCCTAGCATATCTTCCTGACACAATATATATTTCATTTCATTTGATAGAGAGCGATTTTCAGTACTCTACCTTTGACATACTTTTGCACACTATCGAGATCCCAAGTATTTGTGATAAGTTTGGAAAATTTTAATGGTGGATAAAGCAGTATCGCCATTAGTAAAATAATATACGTATGTTTGTATTAGTTCGATGAAAATTTTGTTTAACCGATATTTTTTAAACAAACTGAATTAAATTATATGCATTAAAATAAAAAGTACTTTAAATATAATTAGCCATAAAAAAGTATTGTATTATAATCATTAGTATTAATAATAATTGTAAATTCTAAAAAAATGTCAGTATATAGAAACAATAAGGAAATGGATCAAAAAGATTGACGCACTAACTGCATTTAAAACAGATTTTGTTTGTATTTGTATGCATTCCTATTGGGGACTCGTTCCACTTTTACATCATTTCACTTCATTTTTTTTTGTCTTAACTGCTCTATATTAATTGCATGCATTGATCAGTAGTGCTTCGATGATAATTGAAACAACATCGTAAATGTCAGCATTAATGAAATTGTTAAATTGGTGAATTTTTAAATTAGTTTTGTTAATTAACGGAATATTTCTATTTAAATAAATGTGATTGGCTTTATAATATCAGTAAATTACATCGTTTAAATGTAAATTGTAAGAACGTGAAATACAAAAAAGAATACAAATAAAGGGAAAATGGCGTCTTGGTAAAATCTCCAAGCAAATATTCATATTAATGAATTTATTTTAATAATAAATAAAATGAAATATTAATTATAAATCAAACTTTATAACTAATATTTTGAAAGTAAATTAGTTTATATGATAAAGATCATCGATTAATTATGTCTTAATAAACGAAAATATTCTTTTGAAATCTCTATAATTTAAATAAAACAGTAAAAGTGTAATAAGTGAGTATGTGTAAGTAGTTGTTGTTGTTTGATAATGGTGCTATGTTTAAAATAATGGCAGTATGTAGTGGAGACATTCAGTTCGCGATTGGAGTTGGACGAGAAACCAAGTAAGTCAAATTTTTATTTGTATTGTTATTTTGAAGAGATTCTGTTTATAATTTAAAAAGTTTGTAATGTACATTTCAATTTTCAAGGCTCCCGTAAAAATAAAATAGAATTAAGTTTTTACTAATCCAAATTTTAATATTAATTAATATATTATATACAATTGTTTTTGTATTTAATATACAATTTATATAATATTTTTTCTGTAATAACTTCTTACA